TGGCCCTCACGTGGCCTGACATTCTCGGGTTAAGAGCGTAGGCTTCTTTCGGGTGTCTTTTTAAGTTTATTTTGAGAGAGAGAATCCCAGGCAGGCTCCACGCTGTCAGCACAGAGCCCACCGCGGGGCTCCATCCCGCGAACCGGGGAGATCACAACCCGAGCTGAAACCCAGAGGCCCCCCCCCCGGTGCCCTGTGCTCTTAGATTCCTGACAACAGGTAGCTGCCCTGGTTTCGTCAGCTGGAGCCCAGGCTCTGGCAGCCACAGGAGCCGAGCTGCCGCGCCCCCGAGGGTCTCCACTGTTCTCTTAGTCTGTGGCTCATTTGGGTGGCGTTCCCTGCAAGAGCCGTGGCGGGTGTCAAACACCCGCTCCGTTGTGTCATCTGCAGAGGAAGAGAGACCCCTCCCGGCACTGCCGTGGACCCAAGTGCACGGGGCACCACCCGAAGGCCGGAGGCGTGGGCGGCGGGACGTGCGCCGTGCTGAGCGGTGCCCGCCAGCGGGTGGGCTCCGGTCTTCAGTGGTCACCTGAGGGTTCAGCATCTTGGCTGTGGGACTGAGGAGGTGTCCGGGTACAGCCTCCCGGGACCCGCTCACTGGTGATCTCTCTCCTCTGGAAGTTGTGGTGGCCACGTCTGGAGCCCGAACTCCGTAGTCGGTGGAGGAGATGCCTCCAGGGCCCACTGCCCCAGGAGCTGCAGAGACTGTGGGAGGCCCAGCGGTTTGGCAGGAGGTAAGAGGGACGAGGGGACGGGGCATGGCTGTTCTTTGGGACCCGCACTGGGTTAACTCCATGGACACGTTGGCCTTGACAGGCCATAGGGACAGGTCTGCCAAGAAAGGGAAGAAACAGACGCGACCTAGCAGGCTCCTGTCTGAGAAGCTCGAGAATGTTTCGGGAAAGACTGATGTTAGCAGGCCCCTGCCCAGCTTTGCTGCCCACCTACACCCCTCCTCTCCTCTTACGCCTGCAGTCGGCCCAGGACTGACAGTGTCGGCATCACGGGGATGTGTTCGAGAGGCAGATCCGGTCTGCCCAGCTGGCGGTCTCCGGTGCCCGCCGGACTGGGGGACAGCGGTGTTCCTAGAGGCAGTCAGGAGGAGCTCACCCCACCCAGCCTCCTTTATCCCTGAGGTGCCCTGCGTACCGCTCAGGGTCACGAGTGCCTTAAGTCCCAGAAGACCAGGAAGGCCAAATTCCTGCATTATATCCCATTCATTTTTGGCCTGGTTTTGAACCTGCTGGAAACCCTTTCTGGGAGAGAACCCGAGGGTCTGAGTGGCGGGGTCCAGGTCAGAGGCCTGTGCATCGCAACCCTCTTGCAAAGCTCAGCTAGTCGGGACCAGGTGCTCTGGCCGGGCCCCACCCGTCCCCATGTCCACAGCACAGAAGCCCGTTAAGGAGATGGGAAACCCGTCTCTAAGCCAGGGACGAGCCTGACACAGGCATAGGGCTCTGCCGGGGGTTGCTGGGGACACAGACCTTGTTTCTGCTGGCTCTGAAGCCCCTCCCTGCACGACATGAAGGTGGGCAGGGCTGGCGTCCTGACGGTTACGGGACCGAGGACTGGAGGTTTTCGACCACGACGGGGTTTTGAGGCTTCTGTGGTGACACACGTCCCTATCTCCTAGCTGCCTCCTCCCTGACACGACATCCCCTGCGCCTGGCCCGGCCTGGCTCTCTGCTGCCGCACTTTACTTCGAAATCCAGCGAGCCGGGAAAGACCGTGTCAAGAGCCAGCTGGAGAGGCTGGGCTGCCAAGGAGAGGAGGCAAGATACGAAATTCTCTCACTTGTCTTTTCTGGCAAGCTTGCTTCTGACCCGTGCTCTGACCAGCTGCGTTTCTCATGGTTCACCTGAAGTGGGCTTTTCCAAGGAGAGACAGGAAGGGCGGGGTCGTCCTGACTTGATGAGGAAGTGAAGTTTACCAGGTTGACAGGTTTAGTGATACTTGACCATCAAGTTCCCTTTTGATCTTACTCGTGTCCTCTCCACAAGCCGCTGCCCCACGGGGCCTTCTGCGCTCCTGTTTGCACAGCCGGGGTCCCTCCAGGGTCTCCCCAGCTAAAGCACTGGTAAACTGGAAAGTCAGAGCACCCGGCCAGGGTGGGGGTGGGGGGGGGGTGTTCAGTCGCTTAAGCGTCTGACTCTTGATTTCAGCTCAGGCCATGATCTCAGGGTTCCTGAACTCAAGCCCCGCCTCCATCGGGCCCTGTGCTGACAGCGTGGAGCCTGCTTGGGATTCTCTCTCCCTCTCTCTGGCACTCCCCCGCCTGCACGCTCTCTAAGTAAACCTAAAAGTCAACCTGTCCAGGCTCTGGACGTACACACCTGCCTGAGGTTTTTGGTAACTATAATTTAACGTGGAAAAACCCACAAGGGAGTTTCTTCTAAGTTTATTTTATTGAAAGTGATTTTAGTGGCTCCAAGTCTCCCAGGCCTGTGTGAGCTGAGGGGACAGTGTCCAGACAGACCCCACCCAGCCAGGGTGTGTTCCAGCGGGTTGTGGCAGGTGGGCCCCTGCCTCTGGTCAGGGTGGGACGTGTGGGTTTTTCTCTAGGGATTTTATAAACTTCTCCACAAGAAGCTAAGGAGTGAGGCTGGGCTGGGCGTAGTTCCCTGCAGCTCAGGGACAGCAACAGCCTGGTGTTTCACTGCTCTCACTTGTGCAAGCCGTGTTTAAAGGCTCATATAAAATGACCCAGTCGGTAAAAATTTATTCTCGAATTGTCTCTTTAAAATTTTTCTTCATAAGATCCACTTAGAGGAAAAAAAGAACAATGTCCTTACTTAGAATTACTTTTTGAGGATACAACGTAGGGAATTTTATTTAAGTTGATATATTTATTTTGGGGGAGGGAGAGAGAATCCCAAGCAGGCTCTGAGCTGTCCACGCGGAGCCCACACGGGGCCTGATCCCATGAACCGTGAGGTCCTGAGCTGAGCCGAGCCATGAGGCGCCCCAGGAATTTAATGTAAGTGCACCCGTTTTGTTTGCAGCTGCTGGTGTTCCTGTTTTTCTTTTCCTTAATGGGCCTGCTTTCATCACATCTGACCCCACACGGAAGACCTCGTCAGGTAAGGTGACCTTTCCCACCGCGGGCCTGGAGGACACGCCCGAGACCTCCTCAGTAGGGTGTCTGGGAGGACAGCCCCGGAACCTCTGTCTTGAAGGGTTTCTCAAAAGCGAGAACCCCTAGGCCTGTCCTTTGAGGTCTTACTTCAGGACTCAGGCACGAGGGTCCCTGGCCTGTTGCCCCTAGTCACCATTTAAGGCTCACAGGACACACGAAGGCTCCCCAGCGTGTGTGGCTGTGCGGATACTCACGACCTGTAGTCAGCCTCCCTCTTCTGTGGGCCACAGGCTGTTGACACCCCGAAGGCTTTGGACATTTGTGCTGAGATTCTGGGGTGTTTGGAGAAGAGGAGGGTATCCTGGCTGGTGCTCTTTCAGTTGACAGAGACAGGTAAGAGGCCACTGAGACTTGATAGCAGGGGACGACGGCCTGCGTCTGTCCTAGTTAGCCATCCGGGAACACAGGTGACCCAGCAGACAGGTTGCGATCCCCACTTCTTAATCTTTCTTCAGAAATAACTTTCAGATGTTTAAGAACGGGACCTTGGGCCTGACTTTACTAACTCATTTCCCAAGGTGTATCTTCTTGCCAAATACATAAGCCACATCTTCGGATAAATGCAGAATAAACTCATTTAAAGGACAAAAGAATCCCATGGGGGTGCCAAGTCCCAGGGTGCCGCTAGGCCTTCAGGTTGGGGACAGGGGGTCTGCCTACCTCCGCCACCAGCCCTGCTCTTCCAGAATGAGGACGTCGCCCCTCGTCGCCAGGCTCCTGACGTTCCGTGAACGTGCCGACCCTAGGGTAGGCGGGCACCCACGGAGCTGACTAAAGCCATCCCCTCTCGGTGTTGCAGGTGGCGGCCTGGGCCACGTCCTCCTCCGCCTGGCCCCAGATCAGTACGTCAGACTGCTGCCGTTCGCCTTCTACAGGTAACTGCGCCGACTTCCCGGGTTGCTGCCAGAGCAATCCGGGAAGGAGTTCGTGCCCGCAGGGTCGTGCGTGGTCAGAGGAGGTGGTCCTCCCCTTCCCCCGGCCCTAGATCTCAGTACCACGGCGTGTCTCCCTCCAGACGGGAAAGATGCCTGTGACGTCATTCCTCAGATGAGCAGCTGCCGTGCTGATTGCCACTCACCTCTGTGAGGTCTTAGAGTCACTTGTGTCTCCTTATCTTCAGCCTTCTCTCCTACTTTGACGAAGACGCCCTCACCAGGGAGGATGCCTTCCTGCGTGTTGCCGTCGACATGTACCTAAAGCTGATCCGTCTCTTCGTGGCCGGGGAAACCAGTGCACTCTCCACCGTAGCCAGCAGGAGCCGGGAGCGCCGGGGCCAGGCAGGTGACACGCCTCACAGCCCCGTGCAGCCAGCTCTCCGGGGCTCGAGGCCTGTGACAGCCCAGCCCCTACTGGCACGGTGAGCAGATGGGGGCATCCTGACCCATCACGGGATCCCCTGACCTGTGGCTTTACCTGTCCTCTCTTCAGGGTGACCCTGTCGGCTTGATAACAGAAGCTCGTCGTTTGCTGCTGCGGTCAATACCCAGATGCCCAAAAGAGAGCTTCTCAAACGTGGCCGAGGTAACACGCAGACGCCCACTCTGGCGTGTGTGTCGAAGAGCAAACGAGAGTGCTGTAGATACAGCACTTCCATTAAGAGGACAACCCGGGTGTGCGGCACTTGCACCGTGGCCACTTACCTGCTGGGCTGTGGTTGCCAGCTTCCCTGTCCCCAGGCCCCAGGTGTCTGGGGGCTGCACTCGGCTGAGCACAGTCGGTTTCTTGCAGCTGCTGGCCACCAGTGAGGACTGTGACCCGGACGTGAGGGCCGCCCTCCTGAGCAGACAGCAGGCCGGGCCGGATGCTGACCTCTACCGGGAGCCCCGGCTCTTCTGACTGGACCCTGCGCGGCGCACAGCCCAGCTCCTTTGTAAATAATTTATTACGAGCATAACACGGAGCTCTTGCACTAGAAAGTGGATTACAAATCTCTTTGATTGCTTTAGTGGGGAATAGGAATCAATGATTTAAAATCCATCTGGCCCCAAGGTCAGTATCGTGGGTAAATGCTGGTCCCAGAGCGGACGCTGGAAAGGCTACGGGAGTTGCACGGTGAGCCCCCCTTCACCGTACTGCTGTCCAGTGCCCTCCTGACACACAGGTGAGGGGACACGGCATGGGGGCTCCAGGGCAGCGGGTGAAGCTGTGCCATCAGGTCTTAAATGAAAGAACTATCGAAACCGTCTAAACCCCATTTACCCGCCTGAGTTCAGGTGGGCTCAGGCTTCACAGCCTGGCCCTCCGTCGTCCCACATGGTGGCTCCAGGGGCAGGGCCTTGTCCTGGGTCTGCGTCAGAGGGTGGACCATGGACATGTGCACATTGAGGTTGTGGGCCTTCTCGAACCGCCGGCCACACTGGTCACAGGCAAAATCCAGCTCGGTCTCAGCCTTGTGTTTTGTCATGTGGTACTTCAAGGATGCCCGCTGCCGGCACTGGAACCCACAGACTTCACACCTGGGGGACAGGGCCAGGTGAGCAAGGGCGTGGGTGCCAGAAGCATGGCCATGCGGAGGTGTGCCCATCCCCACACTTACTGCAGAGGCTTGGCTCCTGAATGGCGCATCTGGTGGACGAGAAGGTGTTTCCGCTGCTTGAAGGTCTGGCCACACTCATCACAGATATAGTTCCGCACCTCTGGGGACCAGAGGGGACCACAGACGGCATGAACACAGGCACGAAAATGCCCAGCCCTCCCCGGGAGCCTGGTGGCCCAACGTGGTGTTTTCCTTACACTCAAGGCCCAAGCAAGGGGCCTGTGCAAATCTAATTTTATTCAGAGATTAAAAAAAGTTTTTCAAGTCTGAGAGAGGGGAGAGAGAATCCCAAGCCAGCTCCATACAGTGTCTGCACAGAGCCCGACACGGGGCTCCAGCTCCTGAACCGTGAGACCATGACCCAAGCGGAGATTGTCAGATGCCTAATCAACTGGGCCACCCAGGTGCCCCAATGAGAAACATTCCTAATACAGAGTTTCTTACTAATAATAGAGCCCTCCAAATTGCTTGAAAACGTCATCTCGCTGGGACTTCCTCTTCATCAGATGGGTCCATTTGAAGCCTGTTTTCCTCAAGGGAAACTAGATCCGCTGAGCAGAAGTTCCTCGAGGAAGCCCAGTCTATAAAGCTTCACAGACGACTGCCACCTTACAAACTCTACAGACCATACTGGGCCCTTGGTGGGGGAGGGGATGTTTACTTTGGAGATCAGTTTCTTAGGCTCTTGGACAAAAACTGAACAGTCCCTTCTCCTCCTGGACATGCACCTGGGGTGGTGGCCACGAGCTTCTGCCTCACTGCCATTTCCAATCCCACCTGCTCAGTCATCTACAAGCACCTGACACAGCTTCCCACACGGGCTTGTCCTGTGCTAGGTACGACCCCCCTTTACAGCTTAGGCTCTCCTCTCGGGTGTTTCAGGAAAACTGCTAATGGTTGTGATCACTGGTGTCTAGACTGAGACCAGCAGCCTGAAGACCCAATTTAAGGGAATGTCCAACAAGGCTTAGAACAAAAAACACAGGAAAATGGTTTCACTGCGAAACCAACAAATACGACCCAACCATAAAATGGGCTCAGTGAAAAAAGTAAACCAGAATGACTTCCTACAGTAAATTTTTTTTTTAAGTTCTGGGGCACCTGGGTGGCTCAGTTGGTTAAGCATCCAACTTCGGCTCGGGTCGTGATCTCATGGTTCGTGGGTTCGAGCCCCATGTTGGGCTCTGCTGACAGCCCAGAGCCTGGAGCCTGCTTCAGATTCTGTCTCTCTCTCTCTGACCCTCCCCCGATCATGCTCATTCGCCCTCTCTCAAAAATAAACATTAAGAATAATTTTCTTTAATTTTGGGAGAGGGAGAGAGAGAAGCCCAAGCAGGCTTCATGCTGTTAGCTCAGAGTCTGATGTAGGGCTCGATCCCATGAACCATGAGGTCACGGCCTGAGCCGAAATGGAGTCAAGACACTCCACCAACTGAAACGCCCATGTCAGGTGCCCCTACCGTTAAGTTATGTGTACAATTACAGTTTAGGGATAAATACAGATTCAGGGGGCACCTGGGTGGCTCAGTCGGTTAAGCGGCCGACTTCGGTTCAGGTCATGATCTCGCAGTGAGTTCAAGCCCCACGTCAGGCTCTGTGCTGACAGCTCAGAGCCTGGAGCCTGTTTCAGGTTCTGTGTCTCCCTCTCTCTGACCCTCCCCCATTCATGCTCTCTCTCTGTCTCAAAAATAAACGTTAAAAAATTTTTTTTAAATACAGATTCAGTGCATCAATCTTCCTTTTCTTCCTTAATAGACTTGTTTTTTTATTTTTGAGAGCAAGCAAGAGCATGAGGAGGCAGAAGGGGAGAGAAGCCCAAGCAAGCTTCGTGACACAGGGATCGCCCCGAGCTGAAATCGAGGACTGGGTGCCCGACTGACCCAGGCGTCGGTCTTTTAAAGGGGGTGCTGCCAACTCAGGAGAGCGGCCCTGTGAGCAGCAGCAGTGGTCGGAATCCGGCACACGTGAAGCTCTGGGTTTTCGAAGACCTGGGGGTGTGGGTCACATCATTAAAACTGGAGGGGAATCAAACCGTGACGGACGCGCGGGGTTGCTTCTGCCTGACCCACGAGGCGGCCAGACACGGCCCCAGGCCTCTGGGAAGGGTGGCTGGCCCACGGGCCAGTGGAGGTGAGCGTGTGCCAGAGCAGGGCCCGTACCTGTGTGGATCAGCTTCACGTGGCGCTGCAGGTAACGATCGATCATGAACACCTTGTTACAGCCGGGGTGGGGGCACGGCCTCTCCCGGACCTCCTCGTGGTGCTCCTTTATGTGCTTCTGCGGGGGCGACAGCAGGGCCCTGAGCGCCCCGGCCGGGACGGTCACCCCCTCCCACGGGTCCTGCGCGGCCCCCTCAGAGGAAGAGATGCAACCACTCCTCACGCGACGAGAGGCGGGTGCTTTTCCCAAGAGCGGAGGGCTCCCCTGGGCCCCGGCCCGCGTGAGCCCTCGGCTACAAGTCTGCACTGGGCTCCACGCAGACGTCCGGTCCTCCGGGTCAGCTACAAAGGCCGCCCCGCGCCCAGGGCGCCGCCCCTCCTCACCTTCATGCCGTCGGCCCCGCGGTACACGGCCGTGCAGCCCTGGTAAGGGCACTTGTAGATGGTGGGCAGCTCCTCCCTGCAGAGCATGGCACACGTGGAGTTGCCGCCTCGACAGGCGACCTCCCCGGCACACGCGGAGTTGCCGCCTCGACAGGCGACCCCCCCCCCCCCGCCCCCTTACCCCCCCCCCCCCCCAGGCCCTCACCTCTCACAGCGAAGCTTGTTCTTCCAGCCCGGCTTGGGGCCCGGTTTCTTGCGCATTTTTGGCTCTTCAGCCTTCTTGGCTTCTTTGCTTTCGCTCTTTTTACCAGAGACCCTGTGAAGGGAAAAGAAAAAGAGACGTCATCAGACTCCGAGATGCTTCTCCCTCCTCAAACGGGAGAGGTGGGGCTCCTGCCAGGCTCCCACGGCAACCTGCTTGCGTCTCCGTGCTCACTGGTGGCCTTCGGACCGACCCCTGGGCGCCAGGGCGGGAACAACCCCCCAGCAAAGTCCCAGACTCCTTACTGCCACCTCGGGAAGGCGAGGTGTGGGGACGGGGACCACGCTAGCTACAGGAGGAGGTTTTCGGGACAAACTTCACTCCTGAAACGTCAGAACCAAACGTTATTTGGAGACGTCATGCTGAACAGTGAAGTGGGGAAACTTTAGGGGTCAGTCCCCCCATCAAAACGACCACTAGGCTAGAAAAACATCAGAACCAACACTCTGGAACCCGCTGGGAGGCACACAGCTCCAGGAACCAGGCGGGGGCTCAGAGCGAGCAGTGTGGTCTTGGGGACAGAGCTGTGAGTGGGCAGTGAGGACCTCCCAGTCAGTCTGGCAGGTCCCTGAGGGACCAGTTCAGGCCCAGCAACTAATCCCCTGTGGGGTCTAGTGAAGATTTAAAGAGACATGCACACTTTTTCTTCCCACTTGTTCGATCCGGGCATTTAAGGAAAACCGTCGAGAACAACAGGGAACTTGAAGGGCGTTATATGGCAAGTGTAGAGCTAATGTCATCCTCAACGGTGGAAGATTCAAAGCCTTGCCCTCAGATCAGGACCAAGTAAAGGTGCCCGTTTTCACCACTGCTATTAGAAGATTACCCCTAGGGGCGCCTGGGTGGCGCAGTCGGTTAAGCGTCCGACTTCAGCCAGGTCACGATCTCGCGGTCCGTGAGTTCGAGCCCCGCGTCGGGCTCTGGGCTGATGGCTCAGAGCCTGGAGCCTGTTTCCAGTTCTGTGTCTCCCTCTCTCTCTGCCCCTCCCCCGTTCATGCTCTGTCTCTCTCTGTCCCAAAAATAAATAAATGTTGAAAAAAAAATTAAAAAAAAAAAAAAAAAGATTACCCCTATGCACAAACGATATGATCTTGTGTGTAGAAAACCCTGAAGAATCCACACACGCAAAAATAAACAAGTTCAGCAAAGTGGCAGGGTACAAAATCAACACACAAAAACTAGTTCTACCTCTACACATTTAACGGTGAACAAAATGGAAAGTTTTTAAATAACTCACTTGCAACCGCATCAAAAAGAAGAAAATACTGTACTTAGGGACAAACTTAACCAAGAAGATGAAAACCTGTATGCTAAAAACCGCAACACACTGCTGAAAGAAATTAAGACCTAAGTAAGTGCAAAAACATCCCGCGTTTATGGACTGCAGGATTTAATATTGTTAGGATGGCATTACTTCCCAGGCAATCTACAGATTTGATCCCTATCAAGACCCAGTGGTGTTTTTTGCAGAAACAGAAAAAGCTATTCTGTTTCACATGGAATTTTAAGGGATACGGAATAGCTTAATAATTCTGCAAAACAAAGCGGGAGGACTCAAACTCCCTAATTCTAAAATTACAAAGCTACAGTAATCAAAACCGTGTGGTTCTGGCACAGAAAAACAGACATAAAGACTAACTGAACAGAACTGAGAGACCAAGTATAGACCATCACAAGAAAAACAAACTGATTTTCGACAAGGGTGCCAAGACCACTCAGTGGGGAAAGGACAGTCTCTTCAACATACGGTGCTGGGCAAACTGGATGTCCACAGGCCAAAGAATGCAGGTGGGCCCTTCCTTTCCAACGTACATGACCTAACGGACCGAAGACCTACACGTAAGAGCTAAAACGCTCAAACTCTTAGAAGAAAACGCTACCTTTGATGTGACAACAGTTTCTTAAACGTGACATCAAAGACAAAGCAACACAGGGGCACCTGGATGGCTCAGCTAAGTGCTCCGACTGGCTCAGGTCATGATCCTGTGGTTTGTGGGTTCAGGCCCCGCATCGGGCTCTGTGCTGACAGCTCGGAGCCTGGAGCCTGCTTGGGATTCTGTGTCCCCCTCTCTCTCTGCCCCTCTCCCGCTCATGCTCTGTCTCTCTCTCAAAGATGAATAAACGCTAAGAATTTTTTAAATAAATAAAAAGAAACTCTCTGATGACCTTACAGGCTTCTCCTCTTCTCCTTGTCTAACAACCGTTCTTTGAGGCTTTGCCGTGTGTCCCCTCCTCATTGGCCTCCACCCTCTTTTGTGCGGCTCAGGCACCCTGTCAGAGCCACACTGTGACCAGGGAGTCACCATTTGTCTCCCACGCTAGATCGCACATCTGTTGAGAACAGGCGGCTTCAGAGAGCCCGTGGGTTCACAAGTGCGTCCTTGACGGGTATGGGCTGAAGTGCTTGGAGACACTGGAGGACCCTGCTCTTTGCTCTCCCTTTCCTCCCCCTCGGTCACTCGGGCTCCCGACTCTCACTTCTCACTGGAGCCGCGGGGCCCTAATTAACACATCCTAAGTCCCTTCTTATCTGCCCCAGCTATGGACCCAGACAGGTATGTCTGCTGAAACCAAGTCTCGTGCACCAGGGAGGCTCAGAGGCCCTGTCCCAGGTTTCCAGTTGTGACTCACACTGTAGTACCTAAGGGACAACGTGGCCATCGGGCCTGAGCGTGCTGGCTCCGAGCTGTGGTCGGCCCACTCCAGCCGGCCCCACCTCCTGCAGAGCCTGGCTTCGGTTTCTCTTTCCACAGCCACGTCAGAGCCCAAAGGAGAAGGAAAGTCAGGCTGGCTTCTGTTTCTGGGCTGCATCCTCCTGGGTGACACTGTTGCACTCTCGTGTTTTTATTCTACTGTGAAATGCTCCTAACGCTCAGGTGGGGCACAATTGTGCGCAGGTGTTCTGGGTGTTCCTGGGCATGAGGTTGGGAGAAAAGTGACCCAAGTAAACATCAGCCTTCCCTACCAGGATGTTACATCCAGAGAGAAAACCCAAATCTCGCAAAAGGGAAGGTCAAGACAAGACCACAGCAGCAACTCTCCAAGGAGGTGGCACAGAAATCAGTGCCAGAGGCAGATCTGAGAGGAACTGCAGGGCTGGGGCCCGAGCCTCTGAGGGCCTCGCTTGGCACAGAAGCAGAAAGAACTGCAGGAAAGCCGTGGCCGACGGGAGACACTAGTGTGGTGTGACCGAGGGTTAGGGCTGGCAGAGAGGAAGGCGGGAGCTCCCCGAACGAGGCTGAGTCACAGCCACAGGCCTCCTGCCACTGTCACGTGCCACCGAGACCGGGTCCTAGCGCTGACCGAGGAAAGCCTCCCCACCCCCCAGAAGCCACACTCAACAGGCTAAGGGGGTCAGGCCAAAGAGCAGCAGAAAACGTGCTGAGCGAGGGCAGGCCGGGCAGGATGCGCCTCCGTCCCCTGCCCCCACTACTCCCGCCCGGTGACCCTACCAGGCAGACGTAGGTTTCTAGGCTCCCAGTGATGCCCCTCCCAGACCCCAAGGACACGCGGCAGGACCGTCCTCCTTACTTCTTTTCTGGGCAAGGCTCAAAGGATTCATCTGACGACTGGGTGCTTTGCTTCTTGTCATCTTCGTCTTCACTCAGGATGTCTCTAGGGAAGAAGAGAGCACCTTCAGCAAAGGCCTGGGGTGCGTGACAGCTCCAGTGATACTTCCTGTCTACAAACACCACCAAATCTCCATACTCCGTGTTTTAGCTCTCCTGAAAAGGTCTGAAGAAACCTAAAATCCCCAAATCTCTGATCACATCTCCTAACAGAAAGGGCAGGCAGGCCAGGGTCACTTGAGTCCCGCAAGCCAACAATCCCCCAGAAGCCACACTCCCTTCACACCAGGACCCTGAACTCGTGGAGTCTCTCTCTGGGGCCCCAGGCAGCACAGGAAGACCTCAAGGAGGTGGGCTTCTCCAGAAGCGGACGTTTAGATTATGAGGCACCTACTCCCCCTAACTGGAAGCACCTATCCAGCTGACAGGTCAGATGTCGGCTGGCCACCTTGCAAAGTCACAAAGGCCAGAAAAATATCTGCATATCCATGACCTTTACCCTCGAGCGTGAGTAACTGCACAGTCTCTGCAGGGCAGCAGACGGAACGAAGCCTGGCAGGGCACGGCCTTCCCCCGCAGGCCACCACTCATCTGCACGAGACTCGAGGCTGGCCGGCAGCCTCTAGGACAGCCTGCAACCACTCCTGGTGCCGGGGGTGTTTCTAGCAAACCCACTTGGGGTCTTCCAGCATCTTGTTCACCATCGAGAGACACCCCACGGGAGTCGTGCCACAAATCGTGCTGTCCTTCTCCCTGTTGGGACAAGGGTGCACCCGCGTTCCAGCCACAGATTACGTGGCAGTGTGGAAAGGGGGTGAAGGCCGGCCAGTGTGCGGCAGCCACCATGAGTGGTTCTCAGCTGACAAGCAGGAGGCGGTCCCAGCAGCAAACAGTCCCCAACAGTGGCTCGTCCTCCTTACAGAGCCTCCGCCCCAAGTCACGATCCCGTCATGACACAAGGCCAGAGACCAACTTCCCATTTTAGTAACGTCTTTGGCTGGCACGAAACCACGGCCTTGAAGAAGACAAGGCAGCAGCAGCGAAGGGGCAACCATAGGGCTCTAACTTCCACACCACCCTGGTCGTGCTCCCCTTCCGGATACGTCAGGTCTAGGAGGCCCCTGTCGGGAACAAGAAGCCTGGAAGCACCCTCGGCCATTCCTCTCCTTCCAACTGAGAGAGGGAGAGGGCCCCGGCCCGGACACAGGCAGAGAGCACACAGGTTGGCGGAGTTTGATTTTCCAAGGAGGAATGTTAGGCTATTTAAACCCACTCTTCTCTCACCCCTCAGAAAGGTCACTGAACTCGTCTTTTACCCGATCATCCGAGGTTGAAGACGGAACCTGCTTCTCACCCAACCGCCCTGAGAAACAAAGAACAAGGCTCCCATTACCAACACACAGTGCAGGCAGTGCTCCCCAGCAAGGAGGCGTGTGCCCATCGGACAACAGAGCCTTCCCTGTGGGGAGCCTGGGGTCCTCCAGGCTTAAATCCCACCCTCCTCCCAGTCCCACCCCCCCATAAGGTCCCTGCACAGCCCAACAGGCCACCCCCAAGTCTAGCACAGGCACAGACGGCACCAGGCATCAGAAACCCGAGCCAACGGTTCACGTCAGCAAGCCCAGCCCTTCCCAGAGGTTCAGGTCCAGCTGTGTCAGGCAGGGACGACTCACACTTTGTGGGTGTTCCAAAACATTAAAGAAACATTAATATCAAACCATTAATATCGTACTGCATGCACGCAGTTTAAAAGGCCAAGCAGTTCTGGGGCGCCTGGGTGGCTCAGTCGGTTGAAAGTCTGACTCTTGATTTCGGCTCACGTCACGATCCCAGGGTCATGGGATGGAGCCCTGAGTTGGGCTGAGCACTGAGCGTGCAGCCTGCTTAAGATTCTCTTCTCTTCTCTCTCTCCCCCCCCCCCCCCAACCATCTGGGCAGCTGCGTTTTAAAATGCCACCAAGAGCTGGACCACAGGAGCAGCCCAGCGCTCCACGTAGGTGACTGCACATAAGCTGAGGGAAGCGGGAGGGGGAGCCAACTCCGCCACCTGAACGCAAAGTCCGTGAGCAGCTGCCCCCACACCACAGCACCGTGGGACCGGGTCCCACACAATGGCCCTGTGTTCCCTCTTGGCCACTTGGCAGAGGAGCCCATCTATGCAAGTCCCACCGGGATGTCACCAGGACGCCGGCGGAGACCCAGGGAATGACCCGCAGCTGGCCCGAAAGAGCCTCAGAGGTCCCAGCTGCCGTCTTCCCCCACGTCCCACAACAAGGACCCCCTTCTTCTCCCTCCTTTGGTCCCCTGGCCCCGAACAGGCTTAGAGAGGAAGACCAGACGGCAGACGAGCACGCCTTTACAAAAACTGCTGGAAGAGGGTCCCCGGGCCCTCCCCCTGTCGCTCAGGTCGGCTCCTCATCACTTCCCCCGGAGCCTCCGCAAGCAACACCGTGACCACTGCCCATAACAATACAGACACCCGCCCCCCACTGCGGGCCTGCCTGCCTCCAGACGAGGAATCCTGATCCAGTAGCCCAGAGGAGCTCCTACCTGGGGCCCCACTTGGGGGAAAGCTTGGCTGAGGTGGGGGGCACAGGCCAGGCCCTACAGGGTTGACATCTGAAGGAGGCGGGGCCGCGTCCGCGCCGGGCAGGGTCTCGGTCTCGGCTGGAGTTGTGGTCGCTCTGCCCTGGGAGCTCTGAGGGGCAGCCCCAGTAGGGTTGGACCCCCGATGCTGGGTGAGCCACGGGGCCATCTCCTTGTCCCATGTCCATTTGACTGCCAGCGCACTGTCCAGCAAAAGAGCCCCACAGCTGGAGTCGGCGTCCATGGTATAGTCGTGGCCTTGGTCACAGCCCCACACGGCTTGGATAACACCGCAGTACTCGGAGGACAGTGTCCTCTGGAGGCTAGGCAGGGCCCCGCAGCTGGCTGCGTGTCCGTGCACCCAGGCCACCAAGTCGCGCAGGCCCTGGGGGCTCGAAGTGATCAGGTCCACTGAGGAAAGGCACAGAGACGCCACACCCATGGCCGGTCAGCACCCAGCCCACCTAGAGCCTAACCCACAGACCACACGCCGAGGGCACACTCACCCAGACACGCTCCCTCCTCTGCCCCTGGCGGGGGCTGGGCACCGACCCTGTAAAGCATCGGCATGGCCGTGAGCGGGGCTGGCCGTGATCAAGATGCAGGTTCACCAGACTCTTGTCACGGGCCGCCTCTCCCACATGCAGTCTGACCTTCTACTTCCAGAGGCTGTCCCCTTACACCCACGGCCCTCTGTAGCCCTCACCTCCCCCGAGCACGTCTGTCCGTCTCCCTCACACCAGCCACGCTGGTGGTCACCTGTGTCTGCTGCCCTAAGCAGGACCGGCTCCCCGCTGCAGAGGTTCCCCGGCGCTCACTGTGCCTAGACCAGCCCCAGCACACAGGGTGCCTGGCCCCTGAATGCCCACCAAATGAAAGGAGGAGGGGATGCCTACTTTGTGCAAGTCTTCCGGTGGCCCGCCGGGGAGACGTTGACTCTCTGCAGGAAGGACTTGAGGAGGCCGTGGCACTGGTAGAACTGGGCGTGGCAGTTCTTGCAGACAAACTGAGACAGAGCTGGGTCCTGGTGGACAGCCACCCCCAGCAGGTGCTGGAAGTCCCTGATGAAAACACGCTCCCCTGGGGGTGGTCTGTCTGCGCTCTCCCCAGGTGCCCTGCCAGAAATGCTGCGGAGACTCCGTGAGGAGAACTTCCCGTGGCAGAGGCGACAGTGCCCCATGGCAAGAGCCCGGCCTGTTCCTGGGCAAGCACAGAAGACACTGAGTCGGGCAGGGCTGCTGGCTGCACAGAGCACTGGAAGACACGTGCTCCTCGGAAGACAGCAACGTGGCCTGGGGAGGTGAGGCCCAGGATCTGCCATCCTCCCAGTCCTTGAGGAGAAAGAACCCTCCACGGCACTTCCCCAGACGCGTCCCAGAAACGCAAGCCCACGTCTGAGCCAAAGGCAGGCTCTGGGCTCTGGGCTCTGGGCTCTGGGCTCCCAGCTGAACATACAGCCTTTTGGGAGACACGATCAGTGGAGGGTCTTCTGGTCCGGGACACCTTCCAGATAATTCTAAGTGCATCTAGAACAAGGCCACAATTACTCTAATAACAAAACCAGACAAAGACACCACGAGAAAATTACAAGCCAAGATCCCTGATGAACACGGCTGCAAAAATCCTCAGCAAAACATCAGCCAACCAAACGCAACAATACTTTAAAAGGCTCACATGACATGATCCAGTGGGACTCATTCCAGGGGCGCAAGGATGGCCCGACATCCACGTATCAACCAACGTGACACAGTAACAAAATGAAGGATTAAAATCATGAGCATCTCAATAGATGCAGAAAAAGTGTCTGACAAAATGCAATGCCCATTCATGATTAAAATTCTGAACAAACTGGGTATAGAGAGAATGCACCTCAACGTAATAAAGGCCACAGATAAGCCCACGGGTAACATCATACTCACAGGTGAGAGCTCTCCTCTCAGATGAGGAACAAGATAAGGGTGCTCACTCTCACCATTTTTATTCAACACAGTGTCAGAAGTCCTAGCCAGAGCAATGAACCAAGAAAAATAAGAAATATCCAAATAAGTAAAAAAGGAAAAAAAAAACTGTCTCTGTTTGTAGATAACATGGTATTATATACGGAAAACCCTAAAGACGTCACCAAGAGATTCTAAGAATAAACAAACTCGATGAAGTTGCAGGACACAAAATCAATAATGAACTATCAGAAAAACAAATCAAGAAAAGTCTCATTTACAACTGCATCAAAAGGAATAAAATACCTAGGAATGAATTTAACCAAGGAGGTGAAAAACCTTATGCTGAAAAGTGTAAGACACTGATGAAAAACAGCGAAGACGTGAATAAATGAGTATTCCATGCTCGTGGATTAGGAGAATTAATACTGCTAAAATGTTCACGCTACCCAAAGCCATCTACACATTCGATGCAATCTTGATCAAAATTCCAGTGACGGTTTCCCAGAAACACAACAATCTTAAAATTTATATGAAACCACAAAAGATGCCAAATCGCCAAAGCAATCTTGAGAAAAAAGAACAAAGCTGGAAGCATCATACTTCTTGATTTCAAACTATATTACAAAACCACAGTAATCAAAACAGTAGAGAACGAGCATAAAAAAAAGACACATAGGTTGACGGAACAGAAAAGACAGCCCAGAAATAAACTCATACGTATGTGTGGTCAATTAATTTACAACAAAGGAATCAAGAATATATAATGGGGAAATGACATTCTCTCTAAAAAATGGGTGTTGGGAAAACTAGACGCGCACATGCAAAAGAATGAAATTTGATCCCCATTACTTAAACCACAAACAAAAATAAACTCAAAATGAATTAAAGACCTAAATGTGAGACCGAAAACCGTAAAGCTCCCAGAAGAAAACACAGGCAGTAAACTCCTCATCGGTCTTGGGGATCATTTTTTGGATTTGACACCGAAAACAAAGTCAATGAAAGCAAAAAAAATAAACAAGTGGGACTACGTCAAACTAGAAAGCTTCTGCACTGCAAAGAAAACCATCAACAAGATGAAAAAACAACCTACTGAAAATAGGGAAACCTGAGAAATACTGAAACCTGAAAAAATATCTGCCTATCGTATCCAAGGAACTAATATCTAAAACAAAAAAGACTGACACAGCTCCAAAGCAAAAACACGATCCAATTAAAAACCAGGCAGCAGACGTACAGTCATTCTTCCAGAGAAGACACACATACAGCCGGCCAACCAGCAGGCGAACGAGCCCAGGTGTGCGGCCGAGCGCTCAGCACCACTGCTCGTCAGGCAGATGCAAACCAAAACCACAACGAGCTGTCACTTCACGCCTCTCAGGATGGCTGTTACCAAAAAGACAAGAAACGACGACTGTCGTGGGGATGTGGAGAAAAGGCAACCTTCGGGCACTGCCGGTGGGAACATAAACTGGTGCAGCCTCTATGGAAAACGGTATGGAAGCTCCTCAAAAAAATTAATGAAACCACCATTTGAACCAACAATTCCACCTCTGGGTATTTATCCAAAGGAAATGAAAACACGAGCTCAAAAAGGTAGGTGCGCTCCCGTTTTCACAGCAGCATTATTTACAACAGCCAAGGTGCGGGAACAATCGAAGTGTCCACTGACTGAGAAACAGATTTAAACAAGCGGGAGTGTGTGTATACACACACACTCACACAATGGAATGTTACTCAGCCATAAGAAAGAAGAAAATCCTGCCATTTGGGACAACACGGATGGACCCTGTAGGTACTACGTTAAGTGAAAGACGTCACACAGGAAAAGATAAATACCATACAGTTTCACTTATAGGTGTAAGCCTAAAAAAAAAAAAAAAAAAAAAAAAAACCCAAACTCACAGAGAGCAGACTGGTGATAGCCTGAGGTGGGTGGTGGGGAGGGTGCGGGACGGGATGCAGACGATGGAGGAAAATGGTCAAAAGGTGCAAATTTCCAGGGCGCCCGAGCGGCTCAGTCGGGTAAGCATCCGACTTCGGCTCGGGTCACGATCTCGCGGTTCGTGGGTTCGAGCCCCGCATGGGGATCTGTGCTGACAGCTCGGAGCCTGGAGCCTGGAGCTCGGATTCTGGGTCTCCCCCTCTCTCTGCCCCTCCCCCGCTTGCTCAATCTGTCTCTCTCTCTCCCTAAGATAAACATTAAAAAAAAAAAAAGGTACAAATTTCCAGTTCTAAAATAAGTCAATCTTGGCGATGCATATCGTACAGCAGGGTGACTACAGTTAATAATACTGCGCTGTTGGGCGCCTGGGGCGCTCAGGTCATGATCTCGCAGTCCGTGGGTTCGAGCCCCACATGGGGCTCTGTGCTGACAGTTCGGAGCCTGGAACCTGCTTCGAATTGTGTCTCCTCCTCTCTGCCCTTCCCCAACTGGTGCTCTGTCTCTCTCTCTCTCAAAAAATAAATTAATTAAAACCAAGAAAAGACACAGGGCACCTGGGCGGCTCCGTGGGTTAAACGTCGGACTCTTGAGCTCTGCTCAGGTCATAATCTCAGGGTTCCTGAGTTCGAGCCCCGAAACAGGCTCTGTGCTGATGATGTGAAGTCTGCGTGGGATTCTGTCTCTCGTCCTCTCTGCTCCTCCCCTGCTTGTGCGCTCTCGCTCTCTCTCACAAAATAAACAAATAAACTTAAAAATAAATACACAAACTTTTTTACTAAATGCCTTCCCAGCTACAGAGCTTCAAAAAAGAAGCTAGAAACTTTCTTCCTCCTCAAACCCTGCTCCTGAGACCAGCCCTGAAGAAGCCTCCTCCAGGATCTACCCCCTGAGCCTGTCAGCGAGTGTAGACGAAGCCACCCCCACCCCCACCCCCACCCCCAGGGGGATTCAACGAGAGAGGACACAATCCCTCACACGAAAGCAATGTGCACGTTCTCGCAGACACCACCTGCCAGCCGAGGGCCTCTCGCACTTTATCCACTCAGTTCTGTTTTAAGGAAGACGAAACAGGCTCAGAGACGTTAAGCATCTACCTCAAGGCTACAGAGCACACGGCAAAACCAGGATTGACTCTGGCCGCTCGGACTGCAAAACTTAAGCAATAATTACTTAATAAGCCGAGACTGGGCACGGAAGGGTCAGCGGCCTTGCGAAACGTCACCCCGGACGCCGGGCAGAGGCCGCTCTCACCCCTTCCCTGGGGGAGGCCTCGTCGGCAGAGGGGCCCAGGGACGACGAGGGGGAGAAGACGCCCGGGGGGACGTGGTCCCCGGGGAGACGCCGCGGTCCCGGGGACCCCCGGCTCCGCCCGCCCACCCGCGACCCGCCCCCGTGCGCCCGGCCGGACCCACCTGCCTCGTCGGCGCCGTCCTCGCCCGTGTCCCCGCGGGCCCGCGCCAGGCCCCAGCCCAGCCGAGCCGCCAC